AGCTTTAATAAAAATCTTGAGATAACAAAATAATTAGAAAATAAATGGCATTTGAAATTATCATATTATGCCTGCAAGTCATACTAAAAAGCGAGTCATATTTCAAATAAATGAATATTGAATAACCTGTTTGAATAAAAAGCAAAAATAATGATCGTGTTTATAATTAAGGAAGTCAGAATTTACATATTCTACATAATCGTATGTATTTTGCTGCCTTTTTATATACAAATCATAATGAAGCCAAATATTTCGTTTTAATAATTTTTAGCAAATATATGTATATGTGTTATTACTTATTGAATGAAGGAACGTATGAGTTATCACATAACACAAGTTAGAATCATTATTTTATTGCTATTATTTGCTTATTTAAAATCTCATGCGCATGCTGTTTCTCAGTCCTACTGATATTTAATAGCAGTTATTGTGCATATAATATGTGTAATAATTGCTATTAAATATCAGTAGGACTAAGGACTGAGAACAGCATGCATGAGATTTTAAATAAGAAAATAATAGCAACAAAATAATAATTCTGACACGCAAGAAAATTGTATACAATACAATCAATTATATATCTTCAAGTTAAATCGCCTTTTCTTCCAGGAATTCTGATAAATAGATACGCTATCCTTGTGCCGAGTAATAAATACAATAAGTTATTATTAATAATTCATTTCTTCTAATAAAAAGTTATATGCTTAGACATTTATGTCAAAGATCGCGATCTAACAATAAGTAGATTTATAATATTATGTAGTATCAAAGATCAATCGACGAAAAAAAAACACATTATTATACAGTTCACATTATTTTAATTATTTCTTAAATACGAAAAAGTTAATATATTTTAAAAAATAATATTAAATATTATATCATCTTACGTAAATACACGTACACACGTCATAACGAAGATATCTTTTCACATATTTGCAGAGCAGAGATTTTTATTTTTCAATCACCCAGTAAAACTATATTGGCGATGATAACCTTTGCAAAGTGAACGAGAATAGCTAATTTTATTCCGACTTTTATATTCAGCCAAATAACATTAATATTCCTTAAAATGTGTGTCCACAATAGATACGATTAGTGTATTTGCGTTCTCTCACAGGAAACCGATCATCACTGAGCGCAACTTGGCGCGCGAGGTCGAAGCCACCTAGCTCACTACATAAATACACTCCTATGTCAACGTTACGTCTTCTGTATTATCAAAGTAGAATCGCAATAGCAGTGATTACGCTTGCCCTGATGATGTGGGATTCGTATCTAAATTTATTTTACTGAATGTAATGGCGGTACAACGCCCACTTGTGTTATGCCGAAATTATTAGGTCAGTGGAAGCAGGAAATTACGATCGTGCTTCATACATGTGTTTTCTGACAATTGATAGCTGCTAAAAATAATTCCGCGAGATATACGTAACAAAAAAATTTTTGCTTCAGAAAACGCTTTATTATTCGGCTTGTGTAAAATAAATTACAAGAGAGATCTAACAATAAGCCATATGACATCACTCCAGTCTACTTACAAGATAAAATTTACCCGTATATACGGGTACTATACGAGTCTATAGAGATATTATTTTTAACTAATTTTCCAATTACGATATACATTGAAATCACGAAGACATTTGTCTGACATAATTCAAACAGAAATAAAGAATATCATGTCATATAAAAGAGAAAAAAATCTGATTTATGTAGAAAACTATATACAACCGTGCTTCAAAAGAACTAATTTTAAAATATTTTGATAAAATATTATTTTGGTACAAAGATATAACACATTATCTCTAATTTTTTAAAACAAAATAATCTACCAATGTATTTATACAAAAATAATAATAATCATAAAGTTTATTTATACAAATAAGTTAAAGTTAATTAAGAATAAAGTTTATTAACTCACTCTTTCTCTTTTTTTCTCTAACTTGCTTTTATAAATCCATTTTTTGTTAATAATATCCGCAAGTAAATATTTGAAAAAGTTCTCGAACCATGACGCACTTATGTTCTTTTTGTCACAGATTTGAATGTTTAATTTTTTAAATTAATGGATGAAACACAATAATTACAATCTATCAATGTCTGGTAGGCATTTAGTCGACTTGACGAGCATTATATCACAGCTCTGGTAACTCCAATGACTTCTTTGATTTGATGGATGAACACCAATTATGATGTTCTTACTAGCCAGCTCAGTTATTCGTGCGCACGTAAACAATCATTCTCGTATGCCAGGAAGTTACACTCTCGCCTACAAAACTACATTTATTGCGTTTCAACATTTCAAATCCATTTGCAGAAACCAAGACTTTGAAATCGTATAATAAAGTGCGAGATAAAACATGTTGAAACATATTAGAAAATGGTTAGAAAGTATTCAATCATGTAGAAATTATTCAATACATATTAATAACATTTATATAAATTCAAATCATTTCGTAATATTTTGAGAAGTTATATTTTTATAATTTTAACTACTAATATATATATATATTTTTATTTATAATTATATTTACATTATAATCTTGTTAAATCCACATAGAAATTTTATAATGTTAGAAATATAATTAATTGATTGTCATGAGAAGATACTTATTTTGTAAAAAAGCGTTTGGAAATTTCCAACATTTATAATTTTATTTGCAACGATCCAATATTATATGGCTTTTTGCTTTACGTTATTATTATAATGTATGAACTTTGATTCTTGCGCATTAACATTTACATATTCGTTTAGCTTTATGAAAAATTGTGAAAACCTGTGCCTTTTGCGCATTTATTTCCATCGATTCGTGAAACTCATCATGTATTCTTCACTACATGTTTCTCTGGTACGCATGCATAATCGCATTAATGGTCAAACATCAATGTCTTTTGTCTGTACATTACGTAATATATATGTACAACATCTTGATATATTCGTCTTGTATTATTTAGTTGGTCATTTAAAAGATATTTTTCATAGAAAACGAAAGAAACTGAAACCAGACTATAGCAACGTGTTTTAAATAATCAGATTTCTCTTTGCATCTCACAATTGCTAAAAATTAATTTAATTTATACCGATAAAATGTGTAAACTGTATATTAAATTACATTAAATGCAAATATTAATATATATAAGAATAACAATTTCTTAAAGTTTATTATAATTATTTAAATAAAATTATTATCTATATCTAATTATTAACGAAAAATGTTCTCATCTCTTCGGTTCAAGAATTCAGCTTTTATTCACAAGAATAAATTCATGATTGTAAATATTTTTGACAATGCAATTAAAAAGTTTCGTTTTTCCCTAACAATTTATGATAAAGTACTTATCCATTTAAATGCCACTAAAATAAAATTCAAAAAACAAGAAACATCAAAATTATTTTTTTTGCTCTAAAAATCTGTTATAAAGTTTATTATAATAAGAGAAGGTCAATGATCTTTATTCTGTCCTCCCGCAATCGCGTGTTCTGAAATGCACAAAGCGTCCTGTTTGATGTGCAACACATCTTTGTATGATTTTCGTCGAATGGATTACGAAATCACCGTCTACCGCAAGATTACTCAATTTCCAAATTTATTTATTGTGACAAAAACTCAGATCGACTTGTTGTCTCTTTCAGCAGCATATTCTAGCAATTTTTTTGTAAGATCACATCATTAAATAAGTCATCTATTACGTTATCAAAAATATGAGTTGTCATGGTCATTCTTCAAAACTACTATATTCTGTCTTCGAGGAAGCGGGCACGTGCACACATACACACACACACACACAAGAATTTGCTCGAAAAACAGAAGGTCTGGTCGATATAAAATTCCAGCGATGTGCGCTGATTTCTTAGTCAATTTCACAGTAAACCACCGAAAAGCGCATCAAATAAAATCATCGAATGAAATTATAAATTTATTCAATAAATGTTAAATCTTTATTTAGAAAAAAAAGATTAAGCATTGCTATTTAAGGAAAATCAGTGAATTCTTAAACTATAATCAAGATGCAACAAGAAAAATTCGATTACTTATTTACTCAATGATTTTCACATACCTTCCAATATCACTCGATCAGACGCCTCAACCTTGTTGTTCCCTCTTCGGTCTCAGTAGAAGTCCATGAAAGCCGAGGCCAAATATCCGTGATACCGTTCTAAAAAAGCGTTCTAATGTAAGGCCTGGATAATATGCATGTGTTATAAGATCATTCGTCTGCACGTGATTCTTCTTGCGATTGGCACGTGCACTTTTTTTCTTGCGTATAGAGGATAAAGGCAGGTATCAAGCAGATAACAATAATGGTTTTCGTTTTGTGTGCGGCGGGTGGCATATGGAGAGGGAGAGGCGGATACTGTTATAAGACGTACGGTTTGCCTTCCGGATCATACACTTCCAGCCCGACTATCCGCGGATCACCTGCCGCAGTGGGACCTTCGGGCCCAGCCACCCCGTCGTCGAATCTCCGGCTCCACAGCCGGAAGGCATTTTCGTTGAGCTTCCTGTTTGCTTATTTTTGTGAAAAAATGGCATCGGTGAAGGCAACGTTCATTACGATCCTGTTGGCCGTGGCGACGATCGGTGTAGTAGCTGCCCGAGATATACGTAAGTAAAAAAATCATGGACATATACTCACGTATACATACTCGCCGAATTGAGAACCTTCTTTTTTAAGTCGGTTAAAAAGTACAAGTAAGCCCCAGTGATATTTTTGTTTTTAACGTCAGTCAGTCCTATCCAAGTACTAACAAACTAAAATAAACAAAAAATAAAAATTTTTCGAAGATGGCTTTACATGACTTATTATATATTTTTTCTAATAAACGTATGCTAGTTTCGCTAGTGTGTTAGAATATTATTATACATGTAAGTATCATATAGCTGAATGCTAAAAGTTATTGATTTGATATCTGTTATTAGCGTTACAATTAAGTAGAATTGTATCCTAAAATCTGACATAAATTATAAGTCGTCTGAAATGAGTTTTAGAGATCTTACATAATCTATAATTTATTTAACAAAAGATATTTTATTTAATTTAATTTTTTTATTTAATAATGAATACGTGAAAATGAATACATTCTTTCTGTACATAGGTATGTGTACACATATTTTGCGTTTACTTTAACGTTATTTCTTCTTTTATGAAATCGATACCGCAAGGTAATCAGAAAAAAAGTACTCTTTTATTCCCTTTTGAATAACATGTGACTTTGATTTAAAAAAATAGCTCTTTACATATGAAATATATACTTCATCAAATTCAATACGTTCGGATGAATTTCTAATCTTACACGTTTTTCTGAATGCTAGAGGAAATATAAGAAACTGAGCAAAAAGCGACTTATACTTCTTTATAAATTAAATTTACATTAACGTAAGTGCATTTAGATGCTGAATAAATATTAAATGCGTTCTTGATCGAAGGTCGCATTGCAGAGCGTGTAAATGCATTATTAAAAAAGTGTTATGTAGAGATTCAATCATGTTATATTTATAAATGGAAATCAAGCGGATAGATACAGATCTTTAAAAGAAATACAAAGCAAAAAGAAAGACTAATGTTTATTTTCCGGTGTTTTTATAATACTTATATCGATTATCTGACGGTTTCCAATATGCTTACAGCCGAGTTCCTGCATATTTGCCAGACGAACGATCCGCATTACGAGGTATGCATCACCGAGAGTATAGAGCATTTGAAGCCGTACCTTAAAACAGGCGTACCGGAGTACAACATTCCGTCGTTGGAACCTCTCAAACTGAAAAAATTAACGTTTACTCCGACAAGCAGCATAAAAGTAGATGCAACCGATATCGACGTGTTCGGTGCCAGCAACTTTCAAATTAAAAAAGTGAAGTAAGTAAAAAAAATTAATACCGTCTGTTATGGGCTAGCAAAATCAGTTTTAGAAGATGCAAACACGTAATACCGCGATGTATCCGTGAAATAATCGTAACAGTAACACTTGTGAAATTAAAAACTTTTTTTCTATATACGGGAATGAAAATAATATTCTTTTTATCGTCATTAATCAGCAAAAGCTAATACGAAGTTGAACATTAATATTCTTACTATTTTTTATGAATTCTTTTTGTATTTTTTTTATCATCAGATATATTGACAATTAAAATTGGCTTAATTTAATTTAATAAAATAAAACGTAAAATTTGTCTTTCTCATTTCTTGGGAATGGCTTACATTTGTACGAGAATAGCATGACGCAAGTGATATAATAAGATTCAAGTAGCTGAAATCTAAGACGTTTCTAACGCGTGTTTGTGTTTCTACTTTTGAATGAGCGCGTTGAAAGGATCTCCATGATTATGTGATCCTTACGAGGGTATTATTCGGGTAATGACATCACATTTTGCACGAAATTTTAGGCCGCGAACCACTCGTAATATTAAATTGATACGGCCGTTCTCTCTCTGCTTGACGATCAATCCAGCTAGATTACATAAGATTACAAAGAGATGATCGTGCACACATACATGATGTTTTTGCTGTCGTTGACTTGTGACGTAAGTTGTCTGGCAATTTGTTATTAAAGATATATAACACGTGTATCTCTATACAAGATACACAGCATATGTATGTCTGTACAAAATAAAGATAAAACCCAAATTAATAACCCAAATACGAGACACTTATCAAGATTTTTCTTAATACAGAATTACATATATACTATTCATTAAATATAACTCCTCTAGTCACATAGTATTAGAATATAAATAAAGAGTTATCTACAAAATATTTTATATTTTTTTTCAATATATCTTATTTTTACATAAAATAGAAAATTTTTTGTAAAATATTTATTTTCGACTTTACTTCAATACTTTTATGCACAGAATAATGATATAAATTAATTAATTCAAAGAAAATGCATAATTGCGCTTAAGGAAAAGTATGTAATTTGTAATATGCAATTGAGGAACGGACGCTATGTAGTTTGTATTCCGCGCATAAACGGCCGTGACACGAACACTCGAAGTGCGTCCACAAAGCATCGACATAATCGTGCCTGTTCCTCGAAGATTGCAAGAAAGGAAAGAAGATAAATAATCTGTAAAGACCAGAAAACCGAACGGAAACGGTAATCGCCGGTAATCGGCGTTTCTTGCTGCTTTGTAGCACGCGAAATTTGAAAAGGCACCTGTTAAACAATATGTCAAGCGCTGAGAAAGAAACAGAAAGAGAGAGAGAGAGAGAGAGAGAGAGAGAGAGAGAGAAAAAATTTACAATGACGTTGTAATAATGTGAACAATAAAAAAGGTCGACGTCATGCATTGAAATTGTCAGTTATCATTAACGATTTCTCATGTGTGGGAACTGTGAAAGAGAGATTAACTAATCCAATGACAATCTATCCATCAAGCTGTCCATTTATGGAATGCATGCTAGCTGCTCGCATTGATGCCTTGCTATGTGACACCATTATGTAGTGTTACATTGTGTGATACCTAGACATTAACACAAAGAATATAATTTTTTGGTAATTAATTTATTGTTTGTTACTTTGTAATAATCGCAAGCTAATTAGAATCTCATATTACACATGTAAGAAATTACGAGATAATGCACAGTATGTTGCGATACAATCATAACAATAGCCGTAACAAAGTTTGACGAAATCCATGTAAATTGTAATCTTTATATCGGTCTCAGGTGAGATGAGATTAATTAACTGAGATATGCAAAATGAAAACCCCATTATATCACTTTAAAAGATTTCTATTTTTACAAGTTAATTAATAATTTAATATGTATAATTGCAAAACTGGCAGATATGTAACTGCGACTCGGAAAGATATCACGGAGCGTTTAATGAATCGTTATTTTCTTGTTCGTTACCATCCCTTAATACTGCAATTTGTCTTTTTTTTTTTTAGACTCGATTTCAACACTCTGCTTTTCCTGGTGGACGTAGCATTGCCGAATATTAGGGTCGAAGGGAAATATCTGCTCGACGGCAGGTTACTGTTACTCCCGATTCGCGGATCCGGCCCGATGCACGGCAACTTCTCGAATTGTTTAGGTAAGTATTTATTATTATATAAATTATAATTATGTAAATTATAATTCTCTATTCATTATACCGCACTACTCTAAACAATCATAATTAGCAATTGAATTGTTATTTTGCAAAAATTAGAAATACGAAAATTTTCTAGTTATGAGTTTTCAACTATAGTAACATAGCAATACTATATTTTAGTAAATAGCGTTTTATCAATAACGTACGATAATGTCGTCGCTGCTTATAGTAATAATTTTACATTCGACTTATTCACATCTTGTAAAATCTCGGTCAACTTTCCAGGTGCATGCAAAATACAGGTTGCGAAATTCATTGACCAGGATGGCGAAGAGAAGATGCGCATTACGGACTTCAAATTGAAAGTCTCCGTAGGCAAAGGTACGCTGAAGCTAGACAATCTGTTTGGTGGCGAACAAGCTCTCGGGGATGTCATCAATTCGGCCATCAACAATAACTTCAGTCTCTTTCTGAGAGAGCTTTTGCCGCTCGTAGAAAAGGCACTGTCAGACGCGTTTCAGAATATCGCTGGCAATATCGTTGAACAATTCGCATTCGCTCAACTCTTCCCCGGTGCATAGATCCATATCGGTGATCCAGACAATCGGGCGGGCTGGAAAGTATATATAAACTAAATTTGAAGATCTATTGCGAAATAAGAGCAACAGAAATTAAAGCAATTCACAACAAATTGAAAAAATTTATCGTTACTTTCCGCTACATCGAATCTTTTTTGAGAGGGTGCATACTCAATTAAGATTTACTTTGCTTAGCTCTAAGTTAAAATTTGATTTTGACAGAAAATAGGGAATGGAAGAATTGGACCAAGATCATGGAACGATTTCGGTCTAATTGATATTATTTAAAAATTCAACTCTGAGAGAGAAAGAGAGAACGCAATTGTAGTGAGCAACAATTAATAATCTACAATCTGCTAGAATAATTAACTGAGTGTTTGCGTATAATACTAGCACTTGAAAAGAATAATAACACTTTCAAGAAAATTTTAAGACAAAATAAAAAAAATTTATTTTTTTAAATACTAGTAAATTTTGCAAAAAGTTAGAAAAAAATATTTTTGTTTTGGTAAAATTTTTCGAACGTAATTTCTGAATTCATTAATTTATTATTACGAAATGCGAAAAAATAAATAAATTACTAACAAGCACGTAGAATTAGATGTGGAAAATTCTTGATTAGTAACAATCAAGCACTTTTCTACAAATTATAGAACACTATATAGCAAATTGTTTGCTTCAATTTCGATTCTTTCACCATTGACTCGACGTGAATTAAAAGCCAAAGCCTCATTCAAAAATGAGTGTCGGTATGAAAATTTCGATTATCGACAAACAATAAATAGCTTATTGACAAAGCAAATTGAATTTGTTTGCTAGTAAAGAAACAGTTACTTGTACGATCTTTGTGATTATGTACAATTTATATCTTTGTAATATTAATGATCGCATACCGATATCGATGAATTTAATCATTTAATGCGTTACGAATCGTTGAATAAAGTTTTTGACTATAGTATTTGTTAAACAATATTAACATTATTGCCTCTTTCGTATTTTATTTCCCAAAATATCATAATTTGCGTGCAAAATAACTAACGGCTTTTTAAAATCAGTTTAATAATTTATAAGTTAATTACACAAACTTGTCTTGACTAATATCACATGTTCATAATAACAGTACCAATCAATCCATTCTGCGAATTGTATTATGCTATTTTTATTTCATAATTATAATTTATTTCAGGAATATTATACGATATATTTAATTTAATAAATGTATTTTTAATAATTTTATTGCATCACAGTAAATAATCAAAATATTCTAGATAAGTAAATTCTTTGACCATGTAAAGTTTACAATTTTGTACCAGAATTTGAAATAAATAAAACTTTATTTACGATTTCATGTGCCGTGTAATACAAAAGACATTTAAAAAGTTTGAAAAATACATAAATAGATATATACAAAAAATATATAATAAATGTAAATAACATAAAACAACAAAAAGATGTCTATCATATTGTAAGATTTAATGCTAAGTATGTATTGTTAAAGTCGCTTCTAACAAATTTATTACAATCTATATCGGGTTTCTTTAAAAAGGCAATAAATCTATTTTGATCACGTAAAAAGTAAGTAATATAATACAATGTTATTAGAAAATCAATTTCTGGCATACTTCAAATTATGTTCTAAAGCACAGAAGTCTGACAGAGAGACATATGATAGAAACAAGCTTTATATAAAACTTTGAATAAATTTAACAAAAAAGACGAGCGTAATAAGAAATATTACATTTATACAAATATTTCATTAAATATGATAGCCTATATATGATAGATTTATTTTTCTTTCAATTTTACCGCACACAGAACTAGACTACTCAATTTATGCATTTATTGCTAATTATTGTAAGATATGAATTGATATCTTAACTACACTCAACTTATAATGCCGCAATTTAGTTAAAACTGACAGTAAAATCATAACAAGTAAGTATACTTCAGATTTAAAATTAAAAATAATTTATTATTACATACCAGATTTAGTTTTAAAATTGTTTACTAAATAATTACATAAACACAACACTTAATTATTTGAAGCAGTTTTTCTCCAATATTACAAAATGCACTATGACGCGTGCAATATTTAATTTCGTGTGTATTATCTTAAAGTAACTTGTCTTTTTAGTATACATTTTTTGAAAGATATTTTTATATATGTGTTATTGTCAAAGCCCAAAACGTGGCATTCCTAGGACCGGTTAATTCTGCAGAATAACTGGTCAATTCTGCGGAATATCCCAGCGTTCTTGATTAAAACAGTTTCTCGGAATTAGATTAGTTTTTTATGCGAGGAGGGCCTTCGCCGCACACAGTCTTCTCCGCCTATTTGTGTACTACCTATATACACACATGTTAGCAAACTACTACAAAACTTTGACTAAGACGCTTGGCCATCGGCAGAATTGATTAGTCAATCCTAGGATGACCCGCGTGTTTCGGGCTTTGACCATAACATTGACCATAACATATGTAAATACATTTACGTTGTTAATGCATGATGATAATAATAAAATTATAAATTAGATAAATAAGAGATACACAGTATACAGGAGATGGTTAACACGTATGTAGAATATATAAATATATTGTAAGACATAAATATAAAGATACACGTATAAGAGACAATACATTGTCGCAATTTTATGTTCTATATATTTGTATGCCTTCTAATAATTTTGCAACTATTATATCAAATATTGCGATATAAAATCCTCATAAGCATCATGTTGAAAATAACACACAGAGCATTTAAAATTTAAATTGAAAATGTTATAAGTATTTTGTTTTGAATATTCTTTAAGTGGATTATGAGATGAACAAAATAATTTTGTGACAATGGATATCAAAAACTTAGGCGATTTATGCTCGATCGGGGAAGAGCTCCTCGAACGTAAAGTGTTTAACTATATTGTTGGAAAGCAAGAGAATTCGTTTGACTACTGCTTCTTCAATTGCCGGCTTGAAGACATTAATAACCTCCTGTTGATTGTTGCCTATGAAATTGCTAATAAGTTGGTTCAGTCGGTTCAATTCCGTATTATCCAATCCGTATTCAGCGTCGTATCCTTTGATGTCGAGATTTATCTTCATCTTTGACATGTACACATATCTTTTGCCACCTTTCGTCACTATTTTCATGTCCATGTTTACTTTTGCCTCTACATTATCTGTAAAATTCAGATTAGTAATTAAGATAAAAAAAGTATCGAGTTTTTAAATTGTTACGTTAAAATATATATTTTTAATCTCGTGTCGTATATTATTGCACTATCGATCGATAGAATGCTACGTACCTGTAGTTATATAAACCGGTCCCTGTTGTACAATGGGGACCAATAAACGTATGTCGAAATCATATGTGGCATTCATTTGGATCCGCCTGAATAAGAGCTCGACATCGAAGTGGAGTTTATCGAGATCCGTACGAAGGTATTTTATGACAAAATCGCAAAGTCCTGACACTTTTGCATCTCTGATAGCTATTTTGGAATTATGGTTATCAGAAATAACTAGTCTGCCAAGAAGGAATGGATTGCTCGGCTCAATGTCCAATTCCGGGATACCTTCGCAGATCTTATCTTTTATATTGTCAATGTTTTCCAAAATGCATTGATCAAGTTTTGGATCTCTACTGCTGCACACGTGAATGTAGGAGGCTGTAAAGAATATAAATCACCTTTGCTAAATTGTATAGACGATAAAATTTTTATGACAGGTACAGTTCGTGATTTTAATTATATTAATATCAAACAACGTTAATAAATCTTGAGAGATACAATATAATGTAAAACTTTAAATTAAATCACAGCATACGTGAGGTAATTATCCACAATTTGTTTATTTAATAAGAAAATAATTGATAATAAAAAATTCCTAAATATCTCCATAGAATCTTTACTTAATATTTCTATTGTACAACTGTCGCGTTAGAATATAGGTACCCTCCACTTTTCAGACTATACAAACGCGAATCTGTTACAAGCGACTGCACAACAAGTCGAGTATACGAAATATGTTGTCGCGTTGCAGAAATTATTTATAAGACGTTCTCTTTTAGATATATGTGCCGTATCATAAAACGTGCGAGGAAATTTCCAATGAGAAATCCTTGTCGAAGTTATAATATTGGCTACACCCGTCACCTTAATTAAGTGCTCGAAGACTGGAACGCGGCTTCTTTTCGTAAGCATTTTTTCCAATGCGCGCTCACGTTATTGCTATCTAATCCATGTTCACGACCTGGCGAATGCCAAGCATGCAGCTTGCATTACCACTGGGCTATTGCATTATACCTTATAATTAATATTGTCGCAATGTCCATACAAATTGCAAAGATACGTCTTTACACAACAGAATGAATAATTTAACTTGAAAAATAATGTTTTATTAACGTCCTCGTCGTGATCTGATATTTGCGCTGCAAATTGTGCAATTCGTTCATCAATAATATTACAGAAAAAAAGAATTAGCTACTGTAGCAAATTTAGATAACTAACGTAAAATATGGATAACTAACATTTTTTTTGCAGTGAGAGCTATAATTTAGCAATATTAGAAAAATTATGCAAATTATTACTAAATTATAGCCCTCGCCGCAAAAAATATAGCTCTTACTGAAAAAAGTGTTAGTTATCCATATTTTACAATTAAATTTGCTATAACAGTTAATCCTTTCTTTCGTGATAGAGAAAGAATTGTGATTCGACATGATAAAGACACAACACATTCACATTAATAATGGAAAGGTTTTTCCGTCAGTGAATATAAAATAATATCAAAATTTAATTGACTATAACTGGCATATTTATTCACAAAATCACAACGTTTCGGTCCAAATTCGGACCCTCTTCAGGTGAACTCTTACACAAACATTCGTGACACTGTACCAACAAATCAAAAACCGACGACTAGGCAAAAAAAGAATTTCATTTTTGCATTGCGATCGTTTATACATATACATTATATATTTTTTTTTCTTTTTTACTCACGTATTTCTGCTAAAACATAGTTTCCTGTTACAAGCGCAAAAGCAAAAATAAAAGCAAACATTTTCCAAACCAAAAATTTTCACGTAGCAATACTTTCAAAAATTACACTGCGGAGCGATCCGAACAGCTATACAGCGAATAGGTATAAAGACTAATTCGCGTATATCGATGAAGCTTATATATACTTATCCTTGTTCACATAGCGCTTTGCTAAGCACTACCAGTCTCTTTCTCGATCCGTATTTATGACTCGCTTTAAATACATGACCATATTTGTATTCGCGCCAAAGATAAGCAAATTTTATTTAATAAATAAAAAAAAAACAGAATAATATATTTTTTCACGGAATAAAACACAAATTATTTATTGAAAGAAATATCTATTTAGCATATGCAGCATGAAAAAATATATTAATATAATGAAACTTATATAAACGTTGCATGTACATTAAATTCATTTTGTAAAAACCCAATTATGAAAAGAATACAAGAAATACCGTAATAATTTAATTTAATACCGTGCTGTATTAAAATAGAATTGCAAAAGCAACATTAATAAAAGAATAAATCAATTAATTTTTTCAGAATAAGAGAATTGTGTTTGTATACTTTCACTATGTGTTTAATTTAATTTTTTCATTTCTCTTAATTAATTATTGATAAAAGATAACAGATAAACAAATATCATAAATTTAACTGTCCATTTTTTCATTTTTTTTTTAATAGCAGCAGGAATTTTTTCAATATTGAGACAACTCCGACAGACAAATGTCCTTGGAAAATATTAGATTTATCTAAATATTTAAATAGAGCAAAAATTAACAGAGCAAAAACTTGTGTATATATATATATATATATATATATATATAGTCCAATTACGTAACAAGTAAGATTTTTTTACTCGTAATTATAACCGGTCTGAAGGTTTCTTTGATTATAATTAAATCAGTCAAAGAAAATTTAAATAACAGATTCTAATTTTTTTAAACGCTCATACTCTATGATTTATGACGATGTTGGCATAATGTCGGAACAAACAAGGTTTACGTCAATAGCTTGTCTGCATTTCTTAGCGGAGTATAAATAACTTTTGTCCAAAATGAAATATTAACGATATTTCCAAGCAATTATAAAATATTATTTTAGTTCATTAATAAATAACTTAAAGTATGCAAATAAGACACTTAATATTTAAAATGTAAAAAAATTATTCGGACATCTTATTTCACATAAATATACAGGTTCTACGACAGAATAATATAAACATTGCTGTTTACAATTATCCAATAACAGTTCTTATAAGAAAATTTAAATATTAATAGCTATGATATTTTTTGAGATATTATATAGAAATTATATAATTATAGATACAGACATTTTAAAATTATTTACATTATACATAATTTATCAATTAACCACATCTTTTATGTTAAATTCTGAAAGCATAATCAATAATTTAATTGTTTAACTTTTATTAATGATAAAGTATATGAATAGTGAAACAGCCGTCTGCAAGATTTCTTTTATGTATAATAATTACATATAATTGCATAGCTAATCCTTTTTTCCGTGATAGAGAAAGAATCGTGATTCATGATAAAGACACAACACATACACTTATATATTTTTTTCTTTTTTACTCACGTATTTCTGCTGAAACATAGTTTCCTTTTTATGGATCACAAAGTAATTAGCAAAAGAAAACTATTCTTCTATTCTTCGTAACTAATTATTTGTGATACGTGATCGTCATTAACCTTTAGAGGACGGGCAGGTTTTTTTATGACTTTGTATTATTTTTATTTATAATTTTCACATATGTGTTGAAGTGTTATTGCACGAAAAATAAGCGACTCCCGTGGAGCCTACAAATAGACTTCTCGTCTGGAACGTTAATCAAAAATAGAAAGAATTCGTAAAACAATCATGTGATTGTAAATTTAAAAAAAATTATTATCAATATTTAGTTTTAAATAAGAAATAGTGAAATATTTTTTGCAAAATCTTGTTATAAAAATATATTTTGAAATTTAAAGCTAAAAAATGCAATTGTTAATTGGATATAGAGTTTATGCCGTTGAGGTAAATGTTGATTAAAGCCTCAGCTGGAATGTAAAGGTAGAGTAGAAAAATAGTAAACGTAAAGATAGAGGAGACATAATATCTAAAGGTTTTATACAAATGAGTTCTAAGAAAATAAAAGTACAAATCGCTTCAGTTCTCGTAATTGGCAAATCTCACTTGTTTACCTTAGATTCCCGCAACTACGGAACTTATAGCGATAAAAAAAACTTCGTATTTTAGTGTATGAACAGTTTCAAGTCTAAAAATAAACTTTTCCGCTCTCTACAGGTTAATGACATAAAATATAATAAATAGTAGATATACTATTTAATTTTGATGCTATATTAGTAATGTATATATATTCTTGTTTAAAAAATTATTATTGAAGATATAACATCATCAAACTTTCATCTAAAAAAGTTTAGCCTTTTTACATTTATTTGTACATACTTATTCAAAAATAAACTTAGAATACTTATTATATTTTGCGAAAAATAGATATATTCTTTAAATATATATGTATATCTTCTAAATTATTATTCAAAAAAGCCCATTATGCTGGAATTGTGATCTACATTTCTTTTGTAAAGTTGTTATAATATCTGTGTATACTCAACAATCTAGAGTATTTCTCGATAAAATCAAATCAATCTATCAATTTTGTATTTTCTGGACGCAAAAATGTGAAAAAAGCAGTATTAACATATAAATTTTCATAAATATTTTCTTGATAGAGAATTGAAGATTAATTTTACTCTTCAAATAAAATCATCCGCATAATTTTAATACAGAATTAAGTTAATTAATCAATTATATAAATTTTAATTGAAATAAAAGACAAAATAATAAGTATTTGATTATACAAATTAGAATTTACTAATAATAATTAGCTTACTATTATCGTTAGCCGATTGACATAGTCTATGCCGTTTCTATATAAATTAAGTCAAAGAAACAATAAAAATTAATATTAGTTAAGCTATAAAAAATGATATCAGATAACCTATAAATGTAGTAGCGTAATAATAGCGTAACTGACTTCTACATTTATCAATGATCAATCGTAGTCGAGTGTGATTTTAAAATCGTTGATCGACCTTGACATTTGGCGAAAAGCCAATATTCTACTTCATTTAATTCAGAATCCTATACTAGTGCAATGTCCTTGAGACGTAGTATATAATCTAAAAAATAGATGCTAAAAATATTTATACAGTACTAAAATAGAAGATATTGCATATGCGAACAGATTCCGCGATTAAACCTCCATTAGATATTGTTTTAAAATCTTTCATTTTCCCATTGAATACTTGGCATGCCATTTTTTTGTAATACTAGACACTACAGACGCGTGCTTCGCGCGCGCTATTTAGCTTTAGCTGCAAATGAAGTATGCGCCAGCAAGAGAACCAATCGGCATCGCGGAAAGAAGAAGAAGGAGAGGACCACATCTACTAAGCAACGATGTTTATCGAAGCAATTTAGCTGCGAGGATACGAGGAAGTTGTATAAATAATTTAATGACACGTCTACTATCGTCAGACATGACATCAACGTTAAATGGATTAAAGCGGAAATTTGTAAAAAATTCTTAGAAGCATTCCGTGAAAACAAAAAATAAAATGTTATTTACAGAAAGTTTTTTTATATTAGCAATTAACAAATTAACGTATGAAAATGTATTATAATAATAGTTTTAAAGAATACTGTTAATCTTATCGACATTATTTGTTGACTTTTTTTTATCAATAATTAAAAAAAAAGAAAATTAGATTAAAATATTCCAAGTTTAGCTCTGTTTAATAATTTAATTAAATAACTCTCTTTACGAGATTTCTAACGCGCTTTTGAAAACACAATCGTGTAACATATTAGCATAAAAAACGTTGCATGTGAAATTGCGTCAAGATAAAATGATGATAAAGCAAGAAAATAGTGTGCTTACGTAAATGCTAATGCAGTTATTTATATACATTGATTATAATAGTTTATAATCCTCCTCCTATATTAATATTTCGATTTTTATCTCTAATCCTTTAGAAATTGAGCAATATAAAGAAGAACAAATAGACACTTGAAATAATTAAATAACTTTTTGCAGACTATGATTACAGTAATACGTAAAGTGGAAGCAAATTTGATGTGTTCGATGATGTATGTATTACAACATCTAATATACGATTATTAATATATTACCTTGCAAACAGTTCACATTTCAAGCAAATACTTTCTCACTTATTTTAATTATAAATGTTATGATATAAATTAATTAAATAAGATAAGTATTTTTTATAAGCTTACTACCAAAAAATATTAATAATTAACGATTACAGAAATTATTGTTGATGAGACTGGAATTTATTGTTAAATTTTACAAAATTTATAAAACACTTACTTAGTTATTAATTGAAGAGGAACAAAATAAAATTTAAGTATAACCGAGTATTTGTGAAATGCTAATATTTGTAAAAAATAATAACACTTTTAGAAAATTTTAGAATAATGCAAAAAACATTTACTTTTAAATACTAGCAGATTTCGAAAGAATTTTGGGAAAATTTTATTTTTATTATTTTAACTCTTGGTGGTCACTTATGGGATTAGCATAACTCCAAAAATTTTTCAAAGCAGAATTACACTAACTTTAAGCTTAACTTTTACAATTTTTTTTTAATATATGCTAATATTAAATAATTAACAAAATTAATATTATAGGGTTTTACAACATTTCAAGAAAGTTCAGTAATTTTTTCAAGTCAAAATAATGAAAACTGTAAATACGACAGCCGATTAAAGTCGCCGGGGTCGTTTTGACCTCGGAGTAACCATATATATTATAAAACTGTAGATAAATGTGATCACGAAAAATTAATAATAACAATTGTCAAAATGTATCATTTTTATAAATTCGTTATCATCATTATTAAACTAGAACAGAGATAAGTCACTGACAAGCACTTAGAATTAGAAAATTAAGGAATACTTTTATTGACGAAATTATAAATACTTCTTTGCAAATTTGGTAACATATGATTTTAAGCAGTAAAATTTCTTCTCGTTGCTTTAATTCCAATTCCATTTCTTTCGTTGTTGACGCGACGCGGTTGAAAGCACTGAATAAAAATATCACTGTGAAAACATATTTATCGACACACAGTAAACATCATACTTTTCTGTGCAGATTTAATTCTGCATTCCGTACTTGTCAGCGAAAAGTAAATTCAACCCGGATTGAGTGTTTATGCATAAAATATAATAATCTACATCTACGTATACAATGTAAACTACGTTTAACGTATTATGTAAATAATGAGTAATCCATGAATTATTAAACATTCATATTTCGTTATAGAAATATCAGAAATTTATATTTTGCTTGCAATTTTATTTTCAGTTACGATATTTAATTTGGATACAAACGGCAGAAATTCGGCGGAGGTTTGGTGGAGGCGACACAAGATCGACGGCACAGGATCGGCGGCACAGGATCGGTGGCACAGGATCGGTGGCACAGAATCAGCGGCACAAGATCGGCGGCACAGGATCGGCGGCAGAGATTTAGCAAAAAATTTTAGAAACTTAATTACAATCTAAAAGTAACTTTCAAAACTCTTGTAACTAATGGATATAACTCCGAAAACTCCACACCAGTCGACATCAATGGTGCCAGAATTAATGTGCCATGGACATTTAAAAACACGGCTCACGTGGTGGGAATACGCACACGAAGAGAAGGCACGTGTGTATGTAACGTGTGCGCTCGTAGCCTCGGCAAGCTTCGAACAGTAGCTGAGGACATCCACGTGATGTCCTCTCTCTCTTTCTCTCGCGTCATAATGCGGATCTTGCGTTGTAATGCAGAAGGTATTGTTTATTGCATTATCGATATTCTATAAGCTCCATGTTTTTGTTCCAATTCTTGATTTAAATGGATTAATTGGCGTTGATAGCAGTCCGCAGTAACTGTTTCACCCGGATTCAGCACCTCATAATAAATCATTTTCTTGATATCTCACCAAATGCAGAACAGAATCTTCTTCTGAACATGTTTGGCTTTGCGATCGATGTTGATGGTTCGTCTGGAGTCTGGATTCCCCCCTCCATGACTTTTTGCGTTTTGGATTATCATAGAGTATTCATTTCTCGTCCTCCGCAACGATTTTCTACAAGAAAGACTTCTTACGCTGCTTATTGAAAAGACAAAGACCCGCCACTCGTTGATTTTTGTTGGCTTCAATGAGTTTATGCGGAATCCATTTCCCTTCTTCTTGAATTTTTTCCATCTCATGTAGGCGTTTGGAAATGGTTTGTTGCGTCATTCCCAACTGCTCTGCAAGTTCTTTTTGCGTTTAAGCCGGATTCTCAGCGAGCAGCTGCTTCAAATCATCGTTCTTGCATTTTCGAGGCCTCCAGAACAAATTGTCGATTAGACTGAAATCACCGCTTTTAAACCGCTAAAACCAAAATAAGAAAACATGCTATTCAAATTTTTCAATAAAAATAACTTGGCACTTTAAATTTATAGATGTAATATCTATAAATCACATTTGTTTAAAGATGCTATATTCAATTTTGTTTTCTTTATAACAAATTTATTGCATCTCAGTACAACAATAATAATATAATAACAAATTGTGACAAATAAATTCTTCGTAATCACAAATAGCATAGCAATACATCTAGCAATTGAAATAAATCAGATTCTTTTGTATTTTTATATACATATATTTCAAAATTACAGTTCTAACGCAACAGGAACCTGATAATTAAACACGCTGCAGCAATGTACTTTCAAATAAAGCTGAGTAAATTCAATGGCAAATAAGCGTACTCGTGAACAACGAATCATATAAGAATAATCACAAGTGTAGAGCTAAGAGATTAAACATTACCATATCTGCATCAGATCGTCTTTTTTTTCAATTTACTGCGGATGATGAATTGCATAACGGTTATGCAACGTATGTGTATTCCATATTGTTACAAGAAACACTTTTCATGTATTATATTCTATTTATTGTTGGTAAAACATTTATGAATATCGAGACTAAAGTGAAACTAAATCAAGAGCGGTTATTATAACATATCTATATTTAAACTTCTTTTATCGCTATTATCAAAGATAATATAATATCGCATGAAACAATATTTTATTTTTAGCCCTTTCAACATTTCCTCCTCTATTGTATGTCTGTTTTCATTTTTACAGAAATAAAATCTCGTCAGTTTTTTAAAATATAACAAATATTGAACCAGTTATTCTTTAAATAGATCACAAAAGAACGGAATGATCAATGATCAATAGATTACAATGTTTTGGACGGTTTATGTTCGATCAGGAAAAAGTTCTTCGTAAGTAAAAGTGTTTTACCACATCATTAGAACCACATCAAGATGACCCGTTTGAAGATCGTTTCTTCTAAAACCGATTTAAGAATTTTAATAATCTCTTCCTGATTGCCTACAAAATTCTTAACAATTTCATAAAATTATCCTAATTCCTTTTTGTTCAAATCAAATTCGACATTATAGTTCTTGGGGTCGATATTAATCTTCAACTTCGATATGTATGCATATGTTTTGCTGCCTTTAGCTGCCAGTTTCATGTCCACGTCGATTTTTGCTTCTATATTATCTGCAAGCACACAATTTAGTAATTTCAATAAAAATATAAATAAAGGTTTTAAAATGTTTTATCTAAAGTATCTTTTTGTCGTACATTGACGTCATCAATTCTCTTTCTCTCTTTCCCTCCCTCCTCTCTCTCTCTCTCTCTCTCTGTATTTACATACCTATAGTAATATAAACCAATCTTTTATAAGAGATGAGCACTAGAAAACGTATGTTGAAATCATAAGTGGTGTTCACTTGAGTCCGTTTGAATAAGAGTTCAATATCGAAGTGGAATCTGTCTGTGAGATCGTGTGAAGGAGGGCGACAAAATCACACATTCCCATTATTTTCGCATCTCTAATGTACATCTTGGTGTTAGGCGCATCGGAGACGAGTCGTCAAAAGTATATGGATTGCCTGGCGGAACGCTCAATTCTGGAATTCCTTTGCAAAGGTTTCCTTTTAAATTATCAATGTTACTTATGATGCATTGATCGAGATTCGGGTCTCTGCGGCTGCACACATGAATGTAGGAGGCTGTAAAGTGTAAACATTTTATTTAAGTGACATTTTTAGATAAGATTATCAGTAGTATAAGTATAAATAAAAGAAGAATAAAATATATTTCAAAATAATGTGCATTTTGTAATATAAATAATAAATTTAATTTTTTTTCTGTATAACATTAATATCAAACAGCATTATTATCACATAGCGTCAATATTAAATCTTTTTAAAAATTCAATATACAAAGCCTTTTTTAATAGCGTTAGAAAAGAGAGAGAAAGAAAAGAAAAAGAAAAGGAAAAAGGAAAGAGAAATGACGGACGATTGAACGACAATAAGAAAAAAGGGAAAAATTTATATAAAAGTAATGGTTTATAAGAATTGCACAATTAATAATAAAATAAATAATAATAAGACATTCCCCCTAAATATCGTCGTAGAACTTTTATTTAACATTTTTATTGTACAATTTAAATATTAGAATATAATTCCGTATCTTTTAAACTTGCTAATGCTAACAAACCTGTCATAAGCGACACGCTCGCAGCAAGCCAAGTCTGTAAGACAAATTGTCATATTGCGGAAATTCATTATAAAACATTCTCACGTACTCGTACATGCCATTCCATAAAATATGTGGATAAACGCTCGACAAGGAATTCCTGTCGAAGTCAATACCATCGTTACTGTTGCTTTGATTAAATACAAGGACTATAATGGGAATGGCTTTTTTTCGTCCGTCGTTTTCACACGCATATGTCCTTCACATTATTACTGTCTACATCCATAATGCTAGGTACGCAGTTTGCATTGCCAATGTATTATACATTATAATTATTGTTAATGTTTACCACAACTTAGAATTGTTTAAATCTTTTACATTAATTATCTAATTTGACAAATGTTTTATTAATTATTCGAATTTCCTAGTTGCGGATCAAGAGTGTTCCGGTTTAAGAATTACGACAATCTGCACGGTTAGTATGAAATGAATCATATGCGCGCGATGATATAGATAAATACTGACCTCTCATTTACTCACGTATTTCCGCTGCAGAATACGTTGTTATAAGTGCAAAGGCGAAAATAGCAGCAAACATGTTTTAAATCAAAGTGCTTCCTATTGCGAAGTAATACTTTCTAGAATTGTAATATTACACAGATGCACGACGAACGTATATCGAGACAGACCTATGCAATTGATCAAGCTTATATGTACATTGTACATATCCTCCTTACATTGATTTAATAGTCTCTTTTTCTTTCTTTTTCCTTCTAAAGCAATGATTCACACAAAGATCATGGTCATGGTCATCTCAAATGCGTATAAATTAACATCTTTCATAGGAAATAAGCTTTTTATTAATTCAAAAAACATAATTGACACAGCAATGTAAGTAAATATTGTGTTGAAATAAAAATTTAAGTATTAATAAAAGTAGCATATTTAATTATATAATTTTGCGAATACGCAATTTTAAAAAAATATATAACTTGAGAAGTATATATATATATATATATATATATATATATATATATATATAGTACTAAAAAAAATTGTATTTAGTGAAATTAAATTTAGTGAAAAATTGAATCTATTTTTCTTTAAAAAAACTATATATAAAGATAAAAATTGTATACATATAAAAAGAAAGCAGAAAATTAATTCCATAAAAAAAATTATGCTGCGACGCAATCCTGTCTCTACTGGATAAATATATTCAATGCAAAGAATATATATTAATTTATCATTTCAGCATAAAAAGTACAGAATTTTGCATTTAAAATTAAAAGAAGAATTTTGTATTTTTGCTTCTATCATATTTGATGTCATAAAAATTTCTATCCTGTCGATACATTTTTTTAAATAAATAAAAACGACTCTTTTAATACATTTTTTTTAGCATTTTAAGAAAAGCCATAATTTTGAATATGTTAGATTTAAAATAATATAAAAAATGTACATTTTTAATGCATATTATTGAAACAAATAGCCCATTGATTTTAATCATCCCCATCTTAAATTTATTGTGTCGCAGATTATTTATAAAGCTTTATATTAAATCTACTTAAATTTTTTATTAAAAGTTGTATTATGAATATAATACAAAATTTAGTTTTAGCTTTTTTATTATTACGAGCTATATCTCTTATACATATGTATATAATGTACATGAAATGGTATTGAGACAAAAACGTTATTGTTTAATTAAATGTATTGTTACGTATAAATAATTATTATTTCATACAAATCTGCATTGTTAAGCTAATAATCAATAACAATTATATCTTCATTTTCGTTATTTAGCAAGAATAAAAAGTGCCGTTAGTTATTAAAATATTATAACAAATCTTGTGCTTTAACTATTCTTCAAATGGATCACAATACAAACAAAATAATCACGTGACAATAGATCTCAAATTTTTTTGACGATTTATGTTCGATCAGGAAAGAGCTCTTCGTAAGTAAAGAGTTTGATTATGTTGTTGGCAACCAAGAGAATCCGTTTGGTGATACTCTCTTCCAGAGCCGGCTTAATAACTGTAATAATCTCCTGTTGATTGTCGCCTACGAAATTCCTAATAATTTCGCGCAATTGGCCTAATTCTCTTTCATGTGAAAAGTCAATATTATATCCTTTGATGTCAAGATTTATCGTCATCTTTGAAAAAAACATATATTTCTGGTTGCCTTTGGTAACCATTTTCATGTCCGCGCTTACTTTTGCTCCTACATTATCTGAAAAATATATAATTTAGTAATTACAATAGAAATATAACGAAAATATATATTTTAAATCTCTCTTTTTTGTTGAAATAAGTATCCTTGAAATATTATCTCATTTTAATAAATCAATCATTTTATATACCTGTGGTAATATAAACTTGCGCTGTGTTAGTGATGGGCACCAATAAACGTACGTTGAGATTATAAGTGCCGTTTATTTGAATTTGTTTGAATAACAAATCAACATCAAAATGGAGTTTGTCGATATCTAGGTGAAGGTAGTTCACAACAAAATCGCACAGCCCCGTCATTTTTGTATCCTTAATATATAATTTGTTATCGGGTGAATCAAAAATTACTAATTCATCAAGAATAAGTGGATTGTTCGATGGAATATTCAGGTCTGGCATTCCTTCGCAGATTTTATCCTTCAAATTTTCGACGTTGTTGAAAATGCATTGATCGAGATTCGGGTCTCTGCGTCCGCACACATGAATGTAGGATGCTATGAAAAGAGTATATTATCTTCGTTTATATTTTTAATTTTTTATAAAATTGTAAATGTAATGAAAATAGAATAAAAAAGGACTGATAAAATATATACTTCAAAGAAATATGCAATTTTTTAAACACAATTGTTAATAGTAATTTATTTGTAATTGCAATGTTAAGCGGGACATTAAAATCTTGAGAAATTTACATTAATGGAAAGTTTCTTTTAAGAGTGACGGCGGCGAGTGAGAATGAGACCAAAATGTTATACGTTATAATCATTATTATCGCAATACTCACAAATTAGAATAAATTAGTTGTTCAAAAATCTCGTTTTTCATCAAGTAAAACAAGATCATCGAAAAAACTAAACTCGAAAATAATATTTTAGCAAAATATATTTTTTTTTATTACCTGAGTTTTGCAGTTTAAATAGTATAATGATTCTTTTTACGTATAATGCAAAAAGTTGTGTGCTATAATTGTGTGTTGCAATAAAAATAAGTATATGTATCTCTTATTTACTTACGTACTTCCGCTGCGACATGTACTGTTATAAGCACAAGAGCAAAAGCTGCGGCAAACATTTTTCGAAATATTTCTTGCATATTTTTTAAGATTATACTATGGAACAGTATTACACTTAGAAAACACTCGTGATCCTAACACGTTGACCGACAGGTATCAAGACTGATATATAAACGTTCAGTCATACATATATGTATCCTGTTTCACACTGATTTAATCAGCATTTATCCTCTCTCTTAGTATTTATAATGATTCATTCTAAGACCGTGGAGATAATTATATTAATTATATCTATATATATGTATATATAATACGCACCTATAGTAATAGACATCTTCTTTGATAAAACAAAAAAAAATTTGTTTTAAATAAAAATATATTTAACACTTATAGCACATGGAAAAATATCCTATTTAAAAAAAAACTTGCAGATATAGCACTAATAAATGTTACATTTACCTGTAACTAATTTTACAAACATGCAGTTTCGTAGAAAGAATATCTTTTTAATTGTTATAATGACGGTCAATCGTACTTCTTCCGTTGTCATTTAAAAATAATCAATATCCAAAGTGCTATATAATTTTATTGTAAAAAATTGTTTGTTCTTTATAGATCATAATTACATACGATAAAAACACAAGAAAAAGGAAAAAAAAAAGATAAATATAAATATAATTAATAAAATTTAATTTTCCTAGATTTTCCATACAGGGATATATGTAAATGTGTTCGTCTTCCTTGAATAAAATTTACGTCAAAGAGATTCTGCGTAAATTTTATAATAATATAAATCTTTACACCATTTAAATCATTGTTTGATATAAATTTCTATATTATCCCTATCAGTGATATATTGATAAATCAATGCTTGGAGCGAAATGATTAATTCTGCAAGTATCTGTAAAGGAGTTTCAAAATTCAAGAATATACATTTTGGCAAATGTGTCGTATGTAATAAATATAGATGGTGAACACAGAACTTGTGACATTGTATAACATTACTTTGAGGTTAATATTAACCGCAACCACACACGCGCTCTTGTATTCAAAGTTTACCAATCTACGAAATAATTAACTTCCTACATATTTTTTTTACTCTTCACTAATTATTTATACCTTGATAAAAAGCTATATCTGTGTTATGTAAATACTTAATTTATGCAATGAATCATGATAAACCTGTTATCTTAGCATAGAAAATGTAGAAATTTGCACATGCAGAAAAAAATAAAAATACTGATTTTTGCTCTATATTCTTATATATGTGTGTGTGTGTGTGTGTGTGTGTGTGTACAATGTTATATATTATTAAAGTGTTAATTGTTTTTATTTGTATATTTTTTTTCATAAATAAAAAATTCTTTTAATACATCTTTAATGTACGTGTCTTTTGCCTTTAAATACTCTTAGAATAATTATATGTAATTAGAATATATTAAATAAAGTATAATATCAAAGTCTCGACTGAGTACGAACTATAAACAAATGATTACGTTATAATACACAATTTTTAAATAATCTAATAACCATTCCCTATTCGCGCTATTCAAATGCTTAACAACATAAAAAACGAATTTAGTAATTGTATTGCGAAAATTTTAATACAGAGACTCACGATATTAAGAATATTCTTCGTTATAAATGACTATATAAAGTTGATTTTTCTTATTATTACATCTGAATATGGAACGAATAAAACATATTCATATATTCATATGTTGCAACTTTATTTCTCTAGAACGCAAAAGTTAAAAAAAGGAAGTAATAATAACAAATCAATTTTAATCCAACGTTCCTTAATTAAATAAATAATGTATTTTATTCTTCAAATAAATATATACATAATTTTATATATGTAAGATATCTAATCAATTTTTTAAATTTTCCAATTAAACGATTAAATAATGGGGATTGATAGTAAAGGAATAAATAATAATAATAATTATTTATATTAATATTAGTTGATTGTCGTAATTTACATCGTTCCTATGTCAAAAATGAACAAATTATTTAAATAGTGGAAATGGAAAAGCTACGAAAATTGATAGGTAAATGCTTGACAAAATTATAAACTTATCATGCGAATCATGTGAATTTTAAGAATTCTATGCAAATCGACATCGAAAAAACATGTAAAAGAATCATCCAGTTAAATTCCATTACGTAGTGTCTAGACTCTTTCATTTTTCCTCTTAATACTCGACTGATTTTACGTCAATATCGCCTTGAACAAACATCGCGTCTACGAAGAAACATTATTTAATATTCGTTACTACGAGGCATAAAATAGTTGCATAAATTGTCTAATAATAGTACTTTTATATCGGGTTTTCATCCAATGCTAAGTGAACTAAATGCGGATGCTTGCAACGAAATGTGAATGAAGACTCGACAATTTAAAAAATCATAAATAATCAAATATAATTTACACATTACATTCTTCCTAATGAATTAGTGAGCTAACCGCTAATAAAAACAAATTTTTTTTATATATGTCTCTTACCATGGATATCTCATAACATTAAAAAATTAGAAAATTAGTTTATATTTTTTCATCACCTAAATAAAGAAAAACATCCGATCACTTTAAAATATTCTAATTTTAATTTAATTAAATATTAAATTTTTATAATTCTTTTAGCATCTTTTAACAAACATGCGACGTTAATTATTAGTAAAACAGCAACGAACTGTTTGCACCAACAATATGTAAATTGTTTCTATCAATAATATATAATCTGTATACGAATAGAGCCTCTGAGCGTAAACTGTTGCTGCAAAAGTGTAACGAAGATTGAATAAACAGTTGTTTAAAAGAAGTTCAATATTGTTACTGAGCATTTGCGGATGCAGTTTTACATATGTTATTTACGCAAACAGTCGTCACGAATTTACGCACATATTTTGTAAATATGATAGGCGTTTTGCTATTTGGGAATATAAATAAGATAATACTTATAATTGATATACATATATCACATATTAAATCTATATAAGTCTTCTTTATTAAAGTTATCACAGATATAACAATCCAATATTTTTTATTTTAATTTTATTTTATATACCTTATCATTTATTTAATATAAAAACTTAGTCAATTTAATATAAAAAGAAATATATCAGTTCTTTATTCGTAATTTTCACTACGTCGTCAATACATAAATAATAAAGTTTTTAGTTTAGCAATATTCTCAAACGTCACGTTCAAAGTAACACGATAGCAAATAGGTATTCTTTTTTTGTCGAACTATTGTTCTATACAAGCAAATATTTAGTATAAATCGGTGTTAGTAATTAATGACAATTATTACACGATATCTGTTTTTATCTATGAGTAATTATGTTTGTATCGTCGATTTTAAAACATTGTAAAAAAATCTATTTTTCGATTAATCTTTAAACAAATAAATTGTAGAATGCACAAAATAATCTTATAATGGCTGCATTCCGATATTCACTGTCAGTACTAAAAATCTATATTTTTCTATAATTGTTGAGGATAACTTTAGTGTAATGACATAAAGATGTTGCTGACACAATGCACGTATATATACTTTCAATAACTGTATGAATAAGGTTTACAATATAAACAAGAAAACAAAGACTGTTAGTGGAGAGCGAACGGAAACCGGAAGAATGCGTGTAGAAGAAGTGTTACGTGTATGTAGAAAGATAAGTAGTACTCTAAGGGACACATAAGTGTCGCTAGAAAACATCTTGAATATGTATTCCTTAACAATAATATTTTATGTCACATATACTATAGATTTCATAGTACAGTTCTGACAGTTACTGACAGTAAATATCGAAGTGCAGCCGATGACACATATTAAAATTCTAAGCGATTTGTTCGGGGAAAAGCTCCTCATAAGTGAAGTGTTTAACTATGCCATTAGCAATCGAAATAATTCGTTTGGAGATTTGCTCTTCCAGTGCCGGTTTAAGACTCTTTATAATCTCTTCTTGATTCTGACCTATAAAGTTATGAATAATTTTCTGCAATTGACCAAATTGATCGCCTTCTACGCTGTACTCAGCGTCGTAGTTTTTTATGTCGAGGTTTAACTTCATCTTTGCCAAGTACGTATATCTCTTGCCATTTCTGGTAACTATTTCGAAATCCAAGCTTACTTTTGCTCCTATGTTGTCTAGAAGAACACACAGTTTGGTAATTTAAATAAAACTATATCAGATATATCTTTTGTGTTAAAATAAATTTTTAAACGTTTACTTTATTTTAATAAAAAATCGACTATTTATTTACATACCTGTAGTAATGTAAAGGGGTCCCTTATGTGCAATAGGTACCAGTAAACGTATATCGACGTCATAAGTGGTGTTTGCTCGGATCTGGTCGAATATAAGCTCAACATCGTAATGGAGAGTATCAATATCTGCACGAAAATGAGTTATGTTGAACTCACAGAAACCTGTTATTTGCGTATTTCTAATATATAATTTGATCTCGGGCGTTTCGGCAAAGACTAATTTTTCAATAATAAATGGGTCATTCGATGGAATATCCAATTCCGGTATTCCTTTGCATATTTTAATCTTCAAATTATTTATGTTGTTCAGGATGCATTGCTCAATTTCCGGATCTCTGCGGCCGCATATGTGAATGTAGGAAGCTGTAAAGATTAGAAGTTTTTTAATCATTTTTTATAATAAAATATTTTTAATAAAATTGTCAGTAGAATTAGTTTAAAAAAATGTAACAACGTTAAAAAGTTATATTTTAACAATAATATACTTTCTGTGTTGCAACTAAAATATAACATTACACTCGCTATTTGTTTTATAGATAATTTCTGATATTTATAAGAAAAGTTATTTTATTAATGCAGATTATGTATAATTTTTAATCGAATAAATAATCAAAATTTGCTGAATATTTTTATCTTTACACACAAATCACACAATATACATATGTTAGCATATAGAACATACACAGTATAAAGTGAACTTTTTGTCTTAATAGATTTGTAACATAAATTTGCTTAAAATACATATATTTGTCGAAAAATTAAATAGTGCAGAGTTTTGAAAGATTTCGAGCTACCTCAAGCTAACATAAGAATTGTTAAAAGTCATATAAACGGAAAACAATCACAGTATGGCTTTACGAGTAGAATTTTTCTATTCAAGACCTGACTGTCCTCATCCGAGGACTCCTTGGAAAAAACTCAAGCAGTAAGTATGGAATGAATCGTGATCACATAATGATAGAACATTTTATCAAAACATATTCTTTTTATTACTTGAGTTTTGCAGTTTAAATAGTATAATGATTTTTTTTACGTATAATGCAGAGAGTTGTGCGCTATAATTGTGTGTTGCAATAAAAATAAGTATATGTATCTTTTATTTACTTACGTACTTCTGCTGCAACATGTACTGTTATAAGCACAAGAGCAAAAGCTGCGGCAAACATTTTTTGAAATATTTCTTGTAAATTTGTTAAGATTATACTATGGAACAGTATTACACTTAGAAAACACTAGGTAACGTGATCCTAACACGTTGACCGACAGATCAACGATCAAGACTGATATAAACGCACAGTCATACATATATTATGTATCCTGTTTCGCATTGATTTAATCAGCATTTATCCTCTCTCTTGGTATTTATAATGATTCTATCATTCTATATATAATCATTCTAAGACCGTGGAGATAATTATATGAATTATATATATATATATATATAATACGCACCTATATTAATAGACATCTTCTTTGATAAAAAATAAAAACATTTTAACAATAATATACTTTCTGTGTGGCAACTAGAATATAACATTACACTCGCTATTTGTTTTATAGATAATTTCTGATATTTATAAGAAAAGTTATTTTATTAATGCAGATTATGTATAATTTTTAATCGAATAAATAATCAAAATTTGCTGAATATTTTTATCTTTACACACAAATCACACAATATATATATGTTAGCATATAGAACATACATAGTATAAAGTGAACTTTTTGTCTTAATAGACTTGTAACATAAATTTGCTTAAAATACATATATTTTTGTCGAAAAATTCAATGGTAGCAGATTTTTGAAAGTTTTCGAGCTAACTGAAGCTAACATAAGTATTGTTAAAACTCATATAAACAGAAAACAATCACAGTATGGCTTTACGAGTAAAATTTTTCTATTCAAGCAGTAAGTATGGAATGAATCGTGATCACATAATGATGGAAACAAGTACGTATTATCTTTTATTTACTTACGTATTTCCGCTGCAGCATATGCAATTACAAGTGTAAAAGTAAAGATCATAGCAAACATTTTCCAAGCCAAAAATTTTTTTCTTACAAACTTTCTAAAATTGTAACTTAAAGAACAGTTGCATATAATCTTAACAGCCGTATTCCAAACGCAGTCTTAAGACCGACTCACGTGAACTGATCAAGCTTTTATATATTTATATATTAAAGCAAGATAAAATTTTTATCAAGAATTTTTTATCTGCGTAATTTTTATAATGTAAAAGAACTATGACAATATATTACTTAAAAAAAGAATAAAATTGCAATAAAAATTAAAATAAATAAATAATATAATTATGAGTATGAGCACGTGTACCACATGCATAGCTCAATTCTTCACTTATGATATTAAAACATAACTCGATAACCTTGACATTTAACGAAGATTGTCCGACTAAATTGAAATCTTGAAAACATTGCATAATATTTCTGATGTGGTGTAATAAAAAAGAGACATTTGCATAAATATTAAAATGCAATTTATGCAATGCATTGTGACATATGCAGGAGGATTGTATATATATCGTACATTTTATGTGCCCATACATAACAAGCTAAAAAATTTGTAAATGTAGTATTTATAAATAACTTGTGTTACATATTTAGTTTGCAAAATCCTCTCTTCTCTTCAAGATTTTCGCTTTTTCTTGAACTAAAACGACGCATTATATGTTACGACACATATTTGACTTTATCAACTTTTGGATACTATAAAAAAAACATCTTAATAAATACAATATTTAATTTTGTGCGTATTAAAACAACATATTTATTTGGTACATGAGAATGGCTTATGGCTTATAACACATAAGCTTTTTACATGGATACAATAATAAAGTTAGTAAAAATTAAAGTTAGTAGAAATAAAATGTCATTAGTTACAAGTATATATATGTAAAATTATAGATACATAATTTAATAAAATACAGTATCGCAATTTTATTAAGTTTATAATTTGGTAACTATGTACCATATTAAATGCATTTTGCACAAAATTCTTATCCCCATAAGCCCCACAAATTGAATGGCGAATTTACGGAGAGACTTTGTGACAGTAAATCTTAAAGTTCTAACAATTTACGGTCGTTCAGGGAAGAGCTCGTCGAAAGTGAAATGCTTAACTATGTTATTCCCAATTGAAAGTACTTGTTTAGAGATTTCTTTTCCCAGTGTTGGTTTAACTCTGTTGATAAATTCTTCTTCATTGCTGCCTAGGAAAGTACTAAGAATTTCATTTAATTGAGATTTCTCCTCTCCGTTCATGTCAAACTTACTGCTCAATGTTTTAATGTCGAGAATCAAGTTCAGTTTTGACATATATACATATCTCTTATTATTTTTGTTTACTATTTTCATATCTACGCCAACACTTGCTAACAAGTTTTCTGCAAAAAAAAAACATGTTCTGATAACATTGCTAAAAGAAAATTGCGTTTTAAATCTTTAAAGTTTATCAAAGTAGATTTCTGTAAATTTTTGTTTTATTTTAATCATATTTAAATTATACATACCTGTAGTAAGAAAAACGGGTCCTTTCTGAACAAAAGGCACCAGTACATGTACATCAAAATCATACGTGCCGTTCAAGAAAACTTTTTTGAATATGACACCAATATCGAAATGGAGCTTATCAAGATCTATGTGGAGAGAATTTATAGTGAAATCGCAAAGTCCCGTTATTGTTGCGTCTCTAAGGTATAATTTGGCATTATCTACGTCGGAAATAGCTATTTTGTCAACAAAAAAAGGCTCAATTGGTGGACTCTGTAATTCCGGTATTCCTTTGCAAATATTATCCTTCATATCGTTAATGCTGTTCGTAATACATTGATCCAGATTCGGATTTTGGCGACCGCATACATGAATGTAAGAGGCTGTTAAAAAATAAAAACACTTTTACTATATAATTCAAACCTAAGCTATCCATTAAGTCTACTTAGAATTTGACCGGTTCAGCCGTTATTTATATCCAAAAATCTCAAATATACTCGCACCTTTCTGGCTCGTGTAAAAATACACGGGGCGCATGCACGTGTACTTAGCGCGAGACACTGCCGTGTCTCTTGACAAAACATTTTTATTAACTTGTAATTTTTGGATAAAATTGACAATTGAAAAAGTTCATGCTAAATAATAAAATGTTTTAAAATAACATGCAATTTTTATTATTATTGATACATACTAAATGTATACTACGCTAATTGTATTTGTGCTGTTACATAAAATATTAAATAAATTATTTTAAGTGGAAGAAATATTATAAGTTATCAGAATCAATAATTGTTCTGGACATAAGCAATTAAATTTAAATATTAATAATGTGAGTATAGTAACTACGTTTGCAACATTTATGGCCATAATTATTATGTTTACACGTATATAAATCGCTGTATTAATTTTTATAATTCAGTTAGAATTGATTTTTATTGCTTAATTGATTTCTGGTTATTTTTTTATGTGTAGATACTACATTATAGCAGTCATTTTTATTAATTAAAATGAGTTTAAAACTCTTAATGTGTAAATCGTTACTGTTACTTAGAAAAAATTTATGATTAAAACCTGATTCTATACTTATGAAAAGGGCAGAAAGAAAAAAAATCATGTATTCTAGAAAAAATAGAATATATATAATGACGAAGTTATTCATGCTAAAAAAAAACTGATTAAATGCGTCACAAGTTGATCAAGATCGAACTCATTTTTAACAAATAAAATATCATTTATGTATAGTACTAAAAGTTCTTAACAGATCATCTTAATTAAGAGCGCAAAGATTATGATTATAACTATGTTTCTTCTTGTCTATATTTCTTCAAACTTGTGACTTTTACATTATTTTTATTAGAGCATTTTAACAATGCGTATATGACATTGCAGATATGCAGTTTACATTGCCACCGCACTATTATGTTATATTTAATATTAATTTTCTTTAGATATCCATAATAGTAAAATTATTAAATTATGGGATTGTATAAAGTCTTTTGTTCGCATCAAAAAATCAAGGAACTAATCCAAGAAATATTTTATTGATATTCTTTTCATCTCAATCCAAATTTGGCGCTTCAAAGTATAATGAGTCTTTTTTGTAATATGACTATAGTCATTTACAGCACATTACAATAAAAATGAAGTTGAACAAATACTAAACTTACGTATTTCTGCTGCAACATAAGCCAGTACTAGTGCAAAAGTAAAAATTGTAGCAAACATTTTCCAAACCATTTTTCAAAACGGAATTTTTCTGGAGCTTTTTAAATTATTGACAAACTTTACACTTCTAGTTGCTGTGAATCCGAACAGCTATAAATCAAGACTGATTTACACGAGTAAATCAAGCTTTTATATACCACCTTGTTATTATCTTTCAATTTCCAGTTTTTTCTTTTTCATTTTTTGCGTAATTACGTGGAAAATGTGTTATTAGAAAAAAACGCAAGAAGAGAATTAAGCATTATTTGATAGAAAGGCAGAGAATAAAACTACAATAAAGACAAAGACAAAATAGAGGAAAACAGTATATAGCAAGCAAAAAAATATTCTCGTTCAAAAACACTAATTTTATAGCGACTGATCATTTCTTGTTCCATAGTCATTATTTATTCAAGTCTGACAATATCCCATGGTGATCTAAACTATATCCGTATTAAAATTAAAGAATTAAGCAAATTGTATGAAAAATAAATATATCTTTTTTATAAAATAAATAAAAGAAATTTACACTAAGAAAAAGTAATTTACCTCATGTATAGCACGCAAATAAATATTACATTTAAATAAAAATATATTTTTAAAACATATGTTAAATAAATATTGCATTAAATCAATTTCAGTGAATGCGTTATATTTTATAAATATTACTAAAAATAATTTATAATTTATGCTAGAATTCAGAATAGAATTCTATATAGTTTTAATTTTATATATTTTATAATTTAAAAAATTTTTTAAATTAAAAGACACACACATACACACACACACACACACACACACACACACACACACACACACACACA